TCTACTGAGGGTGAGCCACATGGTCTCTCCATTTTTCCTCCTTCAATGCCTTCCTCTACTGAGGGTAGGCCACATGGTCTCTCCATATCTCCCTCCTTCAACGCCTTATTCTACTGAGGGTGGGCCACATGGTCTCTCCATTTTTCCTCCTTCAATTCCTTCCTCTACTGAGGGTAGGCCACATGGTCTCTCCATACTTCTTCCTTCCATGCCTTCCTCTACTGAGGGTAGGCCACATGGTCTCTCCATATCTCCCTCTTTCAGTGTCTTCCTCTACTGGGGGTGGGCCACATGGTATCTCCATATCTCCCTCCTTCAGTGCCTTCCTCTACTGAGGGTGGGCCACATGGTCTCTCCATATCTCCCTCCTTCAATGCCTTCCTTTACTGAGGGTGGGCCACATGGTCTCTCCATATTCCCTCCTTCAATGCCTTCCTCTACTGAGGGTAGGCCACGTAGTCTCTCCATACTTTCTTCGCCATCCTCTTCAACTCCTCATAGGTGTCTCGTCCAATCTATTGTTTTAGATCGTCTACTTACTCTCTGCCTTTACTTTGGAGTTTCCTCTTCTTTGCCTTGTAAGCTGTAATACTTCGGTGACCACGACACTGCCCATCATCATATTATCGCGGCGACAAATAGGCATAAGCAAGATTTTATTGATTAATTTATTATAAAGAGGGTAAATATAAGGAGATTAAATATATAAATCGAATTTTAAATAAATTTAAAACAAAGGAAACAATCATAAATACAAAAGAAATATAATCGTCTACTTGCCGGTTGTTGTCCCGCGTGCCAATTTCTTTGAATGACGCGGTCTCCATGCGCATGCGTGCTACCATACTTGCCACCGCTGTCGAGAGATACCCCTCATAATGAATAATGATGGAGGACGTTTTCAAATTGAAACTTGCGCTGGCTGTGTTAGGTATATAGTCACATGACAATATATATACGTATATGTACCTAGATAGGCATTTTCTATCTTTAATTATACATCAGAACAATTCATTATATACATCACCATAGTAAGCGCATCATTACCGCAGCGAGTCAGAAGACCACCCGACCGGCTTGAATATTACTAGGAGGGGAGGGGTGTTGTGTCTTTGCATATTTGCTCTTTGCATATTTGTCCTTTGTATACAATTTACATAGTTTTAATTTAACATATTTGTACTATATAAAGGGCGTAAGAATAAAGTTAGTCAGTTCAGCTTTAGGAATAGAGTGGTCTTTAAATAGGACATATGGATTTATTCCAGTCTTAGGAATAGAGTGGTCTTTAAATACGACATATGCATTAATTCCAGCCTTAGGAATAGAGTGGTCTTTAAATAGGACATATGGATTAAGCCCAGCCTTAGGAATAGAGTGGTCTTTAAATAGGACTTATGGATTAAGTCCAGTCTTAGGAATAGAATGGTCTTTAAATAGGACATATGGATTAAGTCCAGCCTTAGGAATAGAGTGGTCTTTAAATAGGACATATGGATTAAGTCCAGCCTTAGGAATAGAGTGGTCTTTAAATAGGACATATGGATTAAGTCCAGCTTTAGGAATAGAGTAATATTGTTGCCTAAAACTTATTTTGCTACTGTAGCTTTTAGCTCGACAAATAAAGAATATTTGTTTAAAGTAAAAGAGTGGTTTCGTGGCTCGGAGCGACGCGACAAAAACTTTACTAATGATGATGAAGAAAGATCTATAATGCATATTTCTAATGTATAATTAAAGAGAAATGCTTCTCTAGGTACATAAATAAAATCCTTATGTTGTATATATTTTTGAAAATAGAGCAATCACTAAATAGATCTTTTAATTAAAAAGGCATATATTGGATCAAAATATAATATTTTTTACCAATATTTCAGTTGACTGAACCCCAAGATATTACCTTATGCAAGGTATTTTCAAGAACATAAATATGTTATAATACCTTGAAAAAAGGTTAGCGTTAAACCAACTGAAATATTAGTAAATAAATAATATTTTGAATAAAAACTGACAAAACTATAATAAGACTCAGAACAAAACACTATAAAGGAATGACAATACATCCAGATGGCACAAGAACCTATAGGACATGCAACAACTGTCCTGGTGTGGAACTAACACCTACCCACATATTCTCATGCCCAGCAATGGCCGCAGCCTTGCAGAAAATTTACAGGGACCCAGAGCAGCAGCTTTACACACCCAAGATATTGGACATTGCTGTGATAGAGATGTATGGAGACATCTGAGGCTCTTCATTGGACACGACAACAACAACAACAATAATATTTTTGATTCAATATATGCCTTTTTAATTAAATATACATTTATATTCATTTAATGTGCACATTGAAGGAAAAGGCTAATAAAATCTAGGCATTTGGAGAGATATTGTATCTATCTTTATTCAATATTAAAAACATAAATAAAAATCGATTCGATTATATAATTTTTGTTTGAAATTTGTTCATTTTGTGGTATTTTTATGTTTATAGTGGTCTACCAAATTATAGATCAATTAAAATATGATATTAGATATAAGTTTATAATTAGCGTAAGGTATAAATACATATTTAAGGCACTAACTAATATAGATAATAAAAATTCATGGTATTTTTTTAGAGAGCTGTGAACGTAGCTAATAGTGCATAATGCAATATGAAAATTAGAAACTATTTTAGACGAGTAAGATTCTTTTTGAAATTAAACAATTTCTACTGCCCTTACTGCAATGGAAAAATTAATGGGAGGGCCTGGCTCATCAGTGGTGAACCCTCCCAGCGGTTTCGCCAGTTTAATCTACCATACCGCTGTTATATTGCATTTTTGGAACTTCCTTTTATAGTGATACTGATGTTAGACTCTTGTAATGGGTATTTTAGATGAATTATGGACATAAGCTTTTAGGACAGTAGAATTACATACATTTATAAATATATAATATGCTTCGAGCAATCGCTCTTCCTCAAACATCAAATTGAGTCTTTTATTAGAACATTTATTTACGATGCACTAGGCAGTAGAAATTGTTTAATTTCAAAAAAGAATCTTACGCGTCTAAAATAGTTTCTAATTTTCATAACAGATGGCGTGCTAGTGCATCGTAAATAATGCAATATATTATGCAACATACTATGCAACATAATGCAATAATGCAACACAAGTGCAGTGTTTTATCGTGACATCAGATTTAAATAGCCATTCATTCAATCTCTAATGATGAAAATAGTTGTAAATCATAAGTTACTAAATAGAAATGAATAATTTAGAAGTTGGGAGATCTCATTTCAATTAATATTCAGGAATATTTTAAATACACCCATATCTCGCTTTGCGTCGGGGTTACGTTCCAAAAAAAACACGACGCAAATTGAAACGACGCAAATTGAAAATATGTGAAGGCAATTGTTAAATAAAATTAAATAAAAAAAAACTTTTGATACTTTTCCATGAAGGCTTGATATTTTTTTTTACTCAATTAATTTTAAGGCAAATTGTGTTTCTTTTTAAAACATATATAATCAAATTTTATCTCTTCGTATTTTAGTATCAAAACTCGAAACTATTATAGACGCGTATTATTCTTTAAAAAAAAAAAAAAGAATCATACGCGTCTATAATAGTTTCGAATTTTGATAACAGATGGCGCGCTAATGCATCATAATAGATCTTAGTATAATGATAAAAAAGTAAGGTATATACAGATAAAATTTGATATGTTAAAAGAAACATTTTTTCTGAAAATTAATTGTTAGAAATTTTATCGATTAAATACACCAATACCTCGCTTTGGCGTCGTTTCGTTTTGCGTTTTTTTTAGTTTTTTTTTAAGTTGCGTCGCTGCTTAATTTTTACTGATTTTCACTGTGCGTCATTAGATTTTCGAAGTTGTGTTGTTTTGGATTCGAGTCTTTATTTTTTTTTAAATTTTTGTTTTCCTAAAATATGGCAACACCTTTGTTTTTGATTGCGCCATGCCATCAAAATTTTATTTTCACTTTACGTCGTTTCAATTTGCGTCGTTTTTTTTTTTTTTTTTTGGAACGTAACCCCGACGCAAAGCGAGGTAGGGGTGTATTATATTAGTTTTAAGATTTTGAAAGGAAAGGTGTATAGAGAAAGAATGGTTAAGAGAAGAATCCAGAAAAAAATCTGTTGCATACAACCTCTCAGAACGACCCTGTTTTCACACCTATTTTCAAACTTTAAATATCTCTAAACAATAAGATTTAGTTCGTCCCAAACAGAATAGCATTTTCAAATCTTTCATTCAATAAATACTGATACATCTTTGTTTACACAATTCTAAAATATGATTTTCGTGTTAACATCCTTGAATAACAATCTATATGAATATCTAATATAGAGTGTATTTATATATATATATTACTTTTTTATATCTTTAAAAATAATGAAGAAAAATTCTTTGGCATTTGCTTTTTTCCCAAGTATATATATGAATATATTTTTAAAATAGAGAAATATATATAGAATATGTTTTTTGCTATGTTTGGAAATATACAATCTGTTATAATATATGATAAACGAGTGGTCCAATTCATTTGATCGAAATCTACAGGTAAAATTTGGCACTTGTCAGACTTGACTATGAACGTGATCGTAGAGGGCCCAGTAGTGGCATGATACTCCCAAGTTGACACACAGATGCCAGATGGCATGAGCGCAGGGTACTACACCATCCAACTTGAAGAAAGGAACGCCTACTAGATAAGAGGCACCACCAAGGAATAACGGTAGATGCAGAGAAGATGGCGGAGGGCTCTGGTAGACACACACCACCAATTATTTATCAAGAATCAGTCGGTAAAACATGAAACTCTTAATCTCAAGGTCGTTGGTTCCAAACCCACGTTGGGCGCCATATGAGTTAAGTATTTATTAGAACTCTGTATTTATAAAATCTAGATAAGAGGTGCCAAGGAATAAAGGCAGATGCAGAGAAGATGGCGGAGGGCTCTGGTAGACACACACTACCAATTATTTATCAAGAATCAGTCGGTAGAACATGAGACTCTTAATCTCAAGGTCGTTGGTTCAAAACCCACGTTGTACGCCATATAAGTTAAGTATTTATTAGAACTCTGTATTTATAAAATCTAGACAAGAGGCGCCACCAAGGAATAAAGGCAGATGCAAAGAAGATGATGGAGGGCTCTAGTAGACACACACTACTAATTACTTATCTATAATCAGTCTGTAAAACATGAGACTCTTAATCTCAAGGTCGTTGGTTTTAAACCCACGTTGGGCGCCATATAAGGAAGTTTCTATTAGAACTCTAGAAATCTTTTTTTTTTATGAAAAGGGCATCTCCTTATCGTGCAACTGAATGTTTCTGTTGGCTTGTGCCATCTATCAGAATATATATCAACTATTCTCGTTGATTTTTAATTATTCCAGAATTGGCCAAATACCCATTCTTAACTAATCAAGTAAAGCTAACCACGGACGCGTTTCGGGCAGAAACGGGTAGTTAAGGCCTGAATTGCGTGAGACAGCAACACAATGTGAAAAAAATAGGACAAATGTAATATTGTACTGGAAATATTATGAATTGTACTAGAAATCTTGTTATATGTTTTATATAGGGCTTTGTTGTCAAAATATTATCTAGCTGTAAATAAGAATTTGGTAGTTTTTAATTATAGTCGCTTAGTTTTCTGATGTCATAAATAAAATATCATCTGCTTTATCATTGTGATCTGCTTAATCATTTATTATTACATTACAATATAGTTCAGACATTTATTCTAAAATTTAAGAATCAAATACAGTAGTCAACATTCCATCATTGGTATCTGAATCAAAATCCTGAAGCTATTCTATTGTGGAATAAACCTACAGGTAGCAACCTGTATTTCCAAGCTCAAAACTAGTATTTATTTTTAAACAAAAATTGTATTTCAATATCACATCTCTTTTTTTTTAACTACCAAATTTTATTTGAAATTTGAATGACCCGAATTTTATTGAAATAAATCTTTCTTGGCATTTTGGTTTTACTGGAACGTTCAGGGCTTTAATCCTTTACGAGAGGCAGCTTTGGAAAATTAATTTTCATTAGAAGAAAGTAATTTTACTTTTAGGTACAGTAGAAACTCTCTTTAGCGGACACCCCGGTAACGGACACCTCTCTATAAAGGGCAATTTTCATTTGCAAAATTACCATTTTTACTATTTAGTAACTCTCCGGTAAAAGGACACCTCTCCCTAAAAGACAGTTTGGCACTGCAATTAGGTGTTGTCGTTTACAGGGAGGTTCTATTGTACTAGTAAATCCTAATTTCTAGTACCTTGCATTCTCAAATGAGCAAGGAAATTGCAAAATAATTTATCTTTACAATCTGTTTATATTAAATTAGGCATGTTCAAGGTAGTCTTTATGGGCTTGTAAAGGTATCATGTAAAGGCATGTGCCCAAAACGGTATATTTTCAACTCTTCTCATGCTTCGAACATAGGAATATAATTATTTCAATTGAATAGGTCAATTTAGGGAATTAAAATAAAGTTACAATCATTAAGTGGCTGCCTTTTTCCTCTGTGTATGGCTGTCCTTCAATTATACGGTCTAAAATTTTGAAAAGTTAAAAAAAAAAAAAAAAAAAAAAGAGCCGACTATGGCTATAGTGAACCAAAATCTCTATCCCATTGGAGTTCACTATTTAGAGGTTTTACAGTATTTTTTTACTTTTCTTTTATCACGAATGCACCTTCAAATCTTTATTTTAAAAATTCATAGAGTGATGTTCAATTTTTAGGAGATTCCTTTTTGCACTAATTTTTTGGGTCTCAAGCAAATGTTCTTTCAGAACAAGGGTAATCATTTTACTTCATAAAGGATTTGTGCTGTTAGTTCTTTTATACAACAACAACAGCTTTATTAGGACATTTCCGTCCTGTAAGGACTCGCCATACATCATTTTCATGGAGAAGGGGAAAAAACATAAACAAAGGAGAGAAGGGAAAATGAAAAGGAAATCAAAGTATTCAACATAACACTATACAAATTAACTATGGAAGGAAATTGTTCTGTAATTTTAGTTCTTAGAGATTACCTTGTTCTCTAACGCTTTATGAAAGTTAAACAATTCTATCGCTATATATTTTTCTCGGACATTATTCTGATTAGCTGAACTGGGTTCACGTAGACTTGGATAATGTTCTTTTAAAATCATATAGTCCTTTTATATTTGTTTGTTAAGCATTTATATAAAAATAGTACATTACAAAAAATTATAGACTATATAATGCGATTAGTAGTATATATAAATTCTTTCTGTTTTTTTTTTTGTGAAAAATAAACACTTCGACCAATTAGAGTTTTTTTTTTTATTTTCTCAACGTTTCAACAAAAAAATCTTTTGTTATAAAATAAATAAAGCTTCCAGGGTTAAGTTTCTATTTCAACTTTTTATTTTCAAGCTTTTGGACTTGTCAGTCCTTCAACAGGATTATCACGATAATAAATTGATGATATATACTATTTTATATATAAATTATTGTTTACATATTTTAAATATTAATGATATTGCAAGGGGAGAAAATATATTACATTATTTTTTTGTGTGTTAATAACAATTTTTGAAAATATATATGTACGTACATGATGGATGATACGTGCTGGTTGAATGATATCTCGTGATTTCAAATAAAATTTAATAAATTCCTGAACTATTGTGGTATATATAGAATACTGCCTACATTTTGTCTTCGTCAGGAGAAATAATAAAAAAAAGCATTTGGAAAGGCCTTAAACTAGAACAATTTTTAACGCCTTGCCAAATGCTTTATTTTTATTTAATCCTACTAACGAAGACAAAAGATTTTTGTTGAAACGTTAAAAAAAAAAAAAAAAACTAACGGGCGGAAGTGTCTATTTTTCACAGAACTATGAATGCTGGCCAAGCAAAATTTATCTTCAGGATAATTCTTTGTGGTTTATTTCTTTTCTATTTATTGATATCTCACTGACTGTCAAAAATCTTATTAATTTTGAATAGAATGGGTATATTTCTCAACCGCAATGTTAGTTATTTATAAAGCAGAAGACTTACCGTATAGAAGATGGCGACTGCTGGGAATGTGGCAATGAGGAAGTACAAGAAAGTTTCCAGAGTTTTGTATCTGAAACAAGAAACATCTCATTCAAATACTGGAAAAAATGGAACAAAAGTGAAATTGTGTTGTTTTTTTTTTGCTTATCCCTAGTACACGTGGTACAGGCAATGCTAATCATGGTGGGTAGAAGTAGGCGACTGCTTTTACTGTAAGTGCACCACATATATTGTTGCACCAGGTTGCGGCTTGGCAGGCTCTTCAACCTTGATTCTCTCCTGTGCCGGGTCTTGTATCTTACCAGAGCGTGTTTCAACCATCCTACAAATTTATATAAGGGAATAATGAGATAACTTTAAGTAGCCTCCAGAATTATTTATTTTTTCCTCACATCAAAGAGAGCAGTGAAGTCACATAGTATACCAAAATATAAATGGTGATTTTATAATACATATATTCTTTTGAATAAAATAAATAAATATAAAATATAAATTTGAATTTAAAATATATGAAAAATAATATTACAAATTAAAATAAAATAGGTTCATTAGCCATGTGATTTCCACAATATACACATGTGAAAAGCAGTTTGACTTTAGCACTTACAAATGTGCCAGAGCCCCGTTTGTTTACTTGCAATCGCTGGTAGGGTTGGACTTTTGCAAGAATCGGGGGCCATTGGAGCTTTTTTTTTTTAATCAGAAGAAAAGTGCCCAATGCGGGAATCGAACCCGGGTCGTAGCGGTCGAAAACCAACGGGGTAGATCATCCTTCCACCGACCCCTTTAGTGAAATTGTACCGGGATTATATATATATATATATATATATATATATATATATATATATATATATATATATATATATATATATAAATATATATATATATGAAAAAACAATAGAAAAAAAAAAAAGATAAGTGGGTCAGGTGTTGATATTAAAAATAAAGAAGGCATCTCCTGACCACGAGCACATGTGCTTTTTAGATGGCAGAGCGTGGATGACTTTTCTTGATTTATCAAGGAATTGGGTTGGCCAAATATCACGGAGCAAGCTAAATAAACGTTTAGTTTATTCTTGCTCCACTAGATGGCGCTCTGCCATCTAAAAAGCACATGTGCTCGTGGTCAGGAGATGCCTTCTTTATTTATATATATATATATATATATATATATATATATATATATAAGTGGATAAATTAAGAAAAAAAGGTTTAGTAAGTTAGAAAGATTTTAGTACGTTGGAAAGGCTCAGAGCATTGATATGAGAAGCAGGTTATAGTTAAGGTTGGCAAGGATGAGAAGACAGGTGGCAGTTTTGAGAAGAAAAATCAATCTATTCTAACCTGTGCTAAATTGCAATATACAGTTAAACCTGTCTATAGCGCCCCCTCTTGGGACTCACCAAAATAGGGTGCTATAGAGAGGGGGTGCTATAGACAGGTCACTTTTAATGTAAATCGCATCGTACTACGTATTTAAAATCGGGCGTTATAGAGAGGAAGGCGTTATTAAGAGGGGGCGCTGTAGACAGGTTTAACTGTATACGTGAAATATACAATTATTTATTCAATCATTTTATATAAGATAGCGTCAACATGAATGCTCTTAGAATTGAAGATGTTCAATTAAAGTTTCCCCTAGTGATAGTTAAATTGTCATAGTGACTTACCGTTCGTGGAAAAAATGCTGATAGAGAATTCCCAGTAGAGCTACCAACCAAACTGTCCCACACAGAAGCCGCGGACATTTCGGACATGTTTCAATCCTGGAACAAATCAACGAGTCTGAGTATTTAGTTCAATGATAAAGCACAATTTGGATTATAGATTATAAACACAAGGTAACAAGACTGTGGGATGGTTGCGTGCGTGTTGGTGTAGCTTGTGGAAAGGCCGCTGATAAGATTATAATTATTTTTTATAAAATAAATTAATTTATTTGAAGCCAGAAATATATAAAGAGAAAAGAAGTAACGGCTGTTGTAAGCAAGCCTTGT